CAAAACGGCGTTTCAATGAAGTTTCCATCTAAATATAGCTTAATACGTATTGTGACTTCGCATATGACGGTTCGTCAACTGCCTACATTCTGAGTGCAGATTCCAAAACAGTTTTCCAGTGTTTCATAATTTCATTAACGATTTAAAGTTGAATGATATGGGGTTCAACAAGAGAAGCTGGATTTTGCTTGATTTCGCCGGTGTGGACGTCGTAAGATCAAAAGATTTCATAAGGTGACATGCCATGAGGCCGGACGGTACCTAATAAATTTAAATAGAACTGACAGGCGTGGTCATAAACATACCATTTTGTGTTTATAAAGAGAACATTCTTTTCATTAAATTAATTTATACTTTTCCTTCGTGCAAATTACGTCGAATATCAGATCGGCCTCAAAATACCGCTGAATACTTCATGATTTTTAGTGTTTTCAATCGATCGCTCATAAAGACAGATTGTGAATTATCTTTTACGTTTAGAACCTATACATAAGATTGTTCTTGAAGGCATTTACTGAATTAGCAAGTGCTCAGGCGCTCCTTTTCACGATGACGGTCGTTTGGGTCATATTCGAAGACTCATTCAAACATCAGACTTCATTTTCAAGAAAAATGACTGTACACAACGAAAGCCACTAAGGAGCATGCCTTGGATCAATAAAAAAAACTTTCCATAATTAACAAGTTACTTCTTTAGAAGGCGCTTTATTACTGCTCACCGTCGACAAATCTCTGTTTACTTCGCATTCTTGCACGGCGGTTAAGTACAAATTTAACACTTTTGGCGGTTTCTTTCACGTACCTAACCAATACTAATATTGAAGAAGGAGACACGATCGCCGGGACAAGAGCTTTATTAGCCTGACGTTTCGGATTCCTACTCGAATCCATCATCAGAGACAAAAGAGCAGAAACGGGTGGTTGTTGCACAACAAGTGCAACGATCTTCCCATTCAATACATCGTGCTGAGACTTCGTCTAGGCGGAGTAATTGGCCACGCGGGGAGCGCACTGGTGAACACTCTTCACAACACCCGGGTCAACGCGTCAGATGGTCGAGCAATCATCACGCCAACATCCAACGCACGTGATGAAATGGCAGCAATTATCGACTCGAATGTCGGCCATCAAGCAATGGTCACACCAATTGTGAAGGGGGAAGCCGTGAACGTTCATAGGTATGCGGTAGCATGGCTGCTGCATCCTATAAATACCGCAGCCCCTTGTGCAACAACAACCCGTTCCTGCTCTTTTGTCTCTGATGATGGATTCGAGTAGGAATCCGAAACGTCAGGCTAATAAAGCTCTTGTCCCGGCGATCGTGTCTCCTTCTTCAAGACTACTTCCTGGGACTCGGCTCTTCGCTTCTATTGGCAATACTAATATTCTTATACTGTTAACGCAATAACCTGCCTTTCTTAATACATTGAGGCCATTTCCTCGATTTTAGCTCGCTTTTAGACTCCGTTCTTTGATTATGAATGCACGGCAAAGCGCCCATATAAATAGTAATATTTTGATGAAATTAAAAATATTTTGCTCGTACCATTTCTGCTAAAAGTATGTACGAAAGCTATATTACTAGAAAAGTAGTGTTTTATTATCAGAATCGGTCTTGATACAGATACCGGTACTGATAGATCAGCTAATTTGACATAGAGGAAGTGACAAAACCCATGGATTCCTTAAAATAAACTTTTTTTCGGAGATTGATATCCATGGTCTTAATCGGACATGAAATAAAATTTCTAGTGCGGCTAAATCTGCTTACTTAAACTCTCGCAGGTACATTTCTATGCTTTCAATGAAAAAGTCGCTTTGATGCCTAAATGGAGTCTAGGACACCTATTAGCACAGAAAATGCACGAATAGTTTTCAACGTTTATTTTGATAAAATTTACTAATATTTTACTTGATATAATTACGCAAACGCAATTTCTGAACAAGAAAGTACAGTTCATTGAAGTCTGCGGGTGAGCGAACAAAATGCGCAACGTTAAAGGCGTTCAAAATATCCCTTATCACTTTCCGTTATCATACTTCATGAGACAGGTCACGTACTATACCTTATTGACTATATATCCCAAAGTCAATGAAACAACAGACGTAGATTAAAATTATTATGGAATTGGGAGGAAGTTGACTTGAAAGTTTGCCTTTTCTTTGTGAAGGAAATGCATATTGATCCAAATAAGAAAGTCTTGGCGCCTCGATGGGATTCGAACACACGCGGTAAAGGAAAGACTTCAGTACAACCAACACTTCAACTACCTAAGCTACAGGGCACCGCCGGACGACACGAGTTTAATGAAATTTAGGTCAAGTGACACACCCAACCTACTGCGACGTCTGGAATCAACCAAATTTGGTTCAGTAATTAGACTTCCCAAACAGGATTTCCTAAGCAATACACCTAGAAACCATCAGGTGAGTACTATGCTCAAGTAATTCATAGATGTTTTCGCAGATGTTGAATAATTCATATTGATCCAACTGTGAATCCCACCGAAGCGCCGCGTTTTTCGATCGTTTCAGTAAATTGTATTTAAATATGTGTCCCACCATGTCCATTGTGCAGTGTGCCTTGTGGAATCAAGAGACGTCCAGTAATCAGCTTCACAGTTTCTTAAGAAAAATTAACGGCTGTTTTCAGCGGAAAATTTTGATAAGTAATCCTGTTTCCAGCAGAACAATATAGTGGCATTCCGTAAAGGCAAGCATAAAGCACACTGACGGGCAGCAATAATAATTGACAAAATAACTAGCTATTATTTTGCAAAATGCTTATTTATCTTTTTCGCTTCTGGTAGATGGACAGGCTTTTTAGAGCGACAGGATAATCTGTACGGGCTAAACATCCTCATAAATAATGAAACAGGATGATAAGCAAACGCGTTACATGGTCGCTTAATGAAAGGTGGCTTGCATTATGGGCACTTCTAGGCAACAGACATTAGGCGACTATATTGTCAAAAGGTCTTCTACAAAGCCAGTACTCTGCCACAGTCAGCAGAAAACTTAAGCACAATTTTGCAGTAATTTGAGCAGAAATATATCGCGGTCGACAGACACTCCTCAGCCGGTAGCGATTATCGATAGAAGCAGGGATGTTAACGCTTTCTTTTTGTCATTGCTTTTACTCTCTTGCCAGGAACCGGTCGAATTTGTAACGACACACTCAAAAGACCACATATAATAGCAACAGACCTGCTTCGAAATTATTGTGGATTTGAAGACATTTAACAACAAAATACGTCATTTGCGTATGAAGAAAAATTAAGGAGCCAAAGCGTCCTACTAGAAACTTGAACGGCCATTTACTGCTTATTTGTCTTCGTCAATCGACCGCACCCCGCCTTAAGGTGTGGAACATCTGGCATTCGATCCTACGACCTGTTGATTTTTGGTCCAGCGTTTACAACCACTGGGGCATGGGTACGTTGTCCTGTCTGTTTCGATCGGGAATATACAATAGCACGCACGCTGGCCGACCGCTCAAACGCAAGGCTGTCGTCGCGTTGTGCCTTAAAGACTTTCATTAGAGCCCAACCAGCAGCCGCAGAGCGGCGCATGACATAGGCTAAATGGCTGGATATGACTGTCTGACGATGCTAGAAAGTCGGAAATGGCCACTCCAGCCTGCCTTGCCTTTGTCGGTGAAACCATACTGACTATATCATGCGTTGCTAAGTGGCTGCTGGTTGGGCTCGATAGAAAACCCGTTAAGCATAACGGAACGAGTGAGTTCCGTAGGAACGATCAGATAGTGCCCGTGCTAATGTATACTCACAATCGAAACCGACAGGACAACGGACCCATGGCCCAGTGGTCAAAGCGTTGGACTTAAAACCAACAGGCCGCAGGACCGAATGCCAGATGTTCCACACTTTGAGGCCAGACACGGCCGGTCGACGAAGGCAAATAAGTAGGAAATGGCCATTCAGCTGATATTTGATAAGCATTTCAAGGAATGGTGAATGCGTTTAAATAACTCACGCACAGAAAATGGCATATAACAACACAATTTCCCCGCAGGACCTCTCAGCAAAAAGAGTTGCTTTGAAGCGCGAGACGTGCAGATTGCTTAGGTTTTAACGGTCTGTTTACATTTCGACTGGTATGTCTATGTAAGCAGTTCGCTTACTCTCAAATCAGCCTCGATGATAAAAGGCTTTTGACATCCTTTGCGTTACAGCTGGAAGTCGTAGGAGAGACTTACTAATAAAAGCAAACAAGTATTTCATTCTTTCGGCAATGGGATTAGTTCACCGCGTCTGTTGATGGCAGGTAATGCAAATTACTTTCTCCGTTATTTTTGTTCCGTCATCAGTTATCCTATGATAGGATAGACTACCTCTCTTCCCACCAAAACGGTCAATCATTGTTTAGATATATTATGTTCCTTTGCGTATTTATCGAGATAGAGCGAATGCGATAGACTTTGCATATAATTATTAATATGTTACATATCTTACTGGTTATTAAGTTCTGGTTCATGGGCTCTTATCACCTACTATTGTGTAGCCCAATGTTCTCGTGGCATTAAATAATTTTATCTTTTCATGAAGTACGCAGCAGTAAGATAAGATAGGTTTCAACAATAAAAACGGGGTTTTCTTTGATTTCACTGATGGTGACCTCGTAGGAACAACGGTTCTCATAAGGTAACACGTTGTCAGGCCGCTCGGTGTCTAAAAAATTTACATAGAACTGGCAGGCGCCATCGTAAACATACTATCTTGCGTTTACAGAGAGCACTTTTCTTTCGTAATATAAATTTACAATTTTCCTCAGTTTTAGATTACTTTAGGTTCCAGGTCGGCTTCGAAATTTTGCAGAATAACTCAAAATTTTCCGTGTTTTCACCTGATCGTCCATAAAGACAGATTCTAAATTACTTGTCTTTTAAGAATTTTAAAATAAGATTTCTCTTGTAGGCGTTAACTGAAGTACTGCTGTTTGGGCGGTCCTTTTCACGAAGATGGTCGTTTGGGTCCCATATGAATAGTCATTCAAACCTCAAACTTCATTTGCGAGATAAATGGCTGTGTTACTGCACTCCGTTGACGTACCTCTGTGTACGTTGCCTTTTAACACGGTGAGGTACAGTAAAAATATGAAACTTTAGCCGTTTCTTTCAAGTTTCTAAACAAAGCCAATATGTTTTTAACGTAAATTTAAGAGCATGCCTTTGGCTATATATTGCGGTCATTTACATTGTTTTCGATCGCTTTTAGACTCCGTTCTTCAATAATGAATGCTTGCAGGGCGCGCATATACATAGTGATATACCGCTGAAACTGTTAATGCTTCCTTATTCTATTTCTGAATTAGGTATGCACAGAAGCCATACTAAACGACAAATAGTTTCTCCTATTTTAAAAACTGGAAATGGCAGTCAGGTGGTGGTCATTTTGTGACATCATTTGAAATTGTCTAAACGGCAAAAGAATTTCAGACCACTTAAACGAAGGAATCTCTTTTAACGTTATTACTGTACTTTAGGGCACCAAATCGCACAGATCTGGTAATTTGACATTTAGTAATTGATAAAACGCCTGGTTTTCTTAAAAGAACCTTTGTCATAGGGAGCTGATTATGATGAATAACATTAGACATAAAATAAATTTTCAGATTAAGCTCATCAGTTTAATAAAACTTTATTTGGTACATTTCTATCCGTTCAATAAAAAGGCGGTTAGATGCGTAACCGGAGACTAGGCCATGTATTAGCAAAGGAAATTACACGAATATATTCCAACGTATATTTTCGCTAAAATATGCTGATATTAAACTTGATATTATTACGTATGCACAAAATGTGCACAAAAAAGGATATTTCATTGAAGGGTATGAAATCTCATTTACTAAGTGTTTAGTAAAATTACTACTGCATAGGTGTTGAAAAACATGCTTATCTGTTTTTTATTGAAAACCTTACGGATATGTGAAAAGCCACCTGGCTAATAAAGGATCTTGTTCAAACACAAAATTCAAAAACCATTATTTCTACAATGCTGAAGAGACAAATCGAGCGAAAACTCGGGAGATGAATAGTTTACCGGAATCGGATGATCTGTAATTTTTTGTCATTTTAGTTCATTCACATTGGGCTGCAGCAGTAGCCGTGCTACCGCATGCCTGTTTACATTCACGAATCTACGCTTTATCAGAGAGACGCGTGTCTCAAGCTGTTCCACTTACCTCTCTAACTGCCGACGGTCTTGTACTATTTCCACTTAGTCTCAGTCTCTACGGAAGGGTCAATGATAAACTTCTGTCCGAGACCGCCCGTATATGCATTTGCTCAAACACTTTCCAGGCGGAATACATCAATGACACGAATCAGTGGTTGATTTAAAAAAAGAAATTAAACATAGTTCAGCATGGTTAGGATCGGGCCAAAGGAAGAACGCAGTAGACACAGGCCATCTTGTAGATATCAGAGTGGACTTATGGATGACATACAGGGTTATCTCAAGCCATCCGAATAGATCGGGGCAGACTGGAATGTCTACGGTAGACGAGGCTGCACTCAGGGTAGGCAAACCGGTCCTATGCGCGCATAAGTAGTTAATACAAGTCAGATAGTTAACGTGGGCCCAAGCCGTCATACCCGTCAGCCGCCAATATTTCCCCATCCCCTGAGGCTGACTGCAGTTTTTCTGTTTCACGGTCTTGAACCCAATTCTCCAAACCAAGCTACGGTATAATTATCAATTTGGTAGCATCATGTTACTCAGTAGTATTATGGCCTGAAGAGAGTTTGTCTGAAGCAGACGACTGCTCACTAAAATGAAGAAATTCCGATGCAAGCTGAACAGTTTGCTGTCACAGTACTCAGACGAAGATCGTGCTGCATCATAGAATTTTGTAGACTGTGCGCCAGATTATCCCTACAGTGCCAATAGAAGCGAAGAGACGTATCTGCTATTGTCTCTGATGATGGGTTCGGGCAGGAATCCGAAACATCAGGCTAATAAATTCCTTGTCCCAACGATCGTGTCTCCTTCTTCAAGTTTCCCAACAGTATTGCAAATATAGGGGCTCTATCACATGTCATCGTCGCGAATATTTACCAAAACCTAATCGTTCCGAATAAACAGGAGCAGTCCTATGACGTGAATCGTGAAAAAGTGCAGTCCATAAGGTAGGCGTTATAACCAACACGGGCACATGACCATAACAAAAAAGCTTTCACTTGTGAACTCCCCGCCTTCGTCAAGAGAGAACACGAACTCAATTAAACTCGTTTTGGCAATTCACGGAGATATATAAGTAGCCAGTCTTATGGTCTCTATTATGCACCCGAGCCATCGACCTTGAGGTAAGTTAGTGCATCCTATATGCCAGTAGTCTGTTACGTGGTAGTAATATCATCAGCCATACACACCTGCATCATTTTATATTTGAGTTTAGAAGTGAAAACAGCGCGATAATGAAGTTTCTGTTGGTCGTTCTACTCATCGCGTCAGTTGTCATCAGCGGTATGTTCCAGAACATTTTGCCTGTTATTTTTCTGGCGAAAGTTTTGAATAAATAACAATCTCTTCTCCATAGAATCAACTGCTAACACGACAAATGAGACTACTGCTACTACTGCTTCGACATCGACTGACAGTAGTAATGGGGCCAGTACCAATACAACTGGGGCCATAAACCCTACTTCATCCTCCAACGAGACGGCTGAAGCCACAACGACATCAAGCACTTCGGTCATATCTATGACACACTGCTTCCTTCTGCCGCTCTTGCTTGCCACTTCCGTTAAGTTGTGATGATATCTTTCAAAACACATTTCCAAATAAACAATGCCTGCAATTATTAGTTTGAAACTAAACCATAATGAACCGATGAGGGGAAAAATTGTCACATCTGGGCAAAGTTGATCGGAGGGCAGTTTGGGCGTAGTGACTACCTCGAACTCGACCCCGTAATATACCAATCTGTCTTCTAATTTCAGTCTGATCTCTTTGAGATATCAGCGGACGATGGAACACGTTTGACCTGTATGCACAATAAATGTTTCCTCTTAAACGGTCTGTAGGAAGTGGCCCTAGGCCAGCTCCCTCGCAGGAGGAAACCAGACGTCAGTATGGAAAAATGTTTTATACCGCACGGAGCGGACGCAGTGGCAGCTGAAAGGATATGTAGACATGCGGACGGTAGTCAGTCACCCGGCGTCCAGTGTTCCGTAGTCAAATCTTCCTGTATTGACTTAGCGTATGAACGCGTCAGAAGACTTAGGTTTATTTGGTCGATTAAGGACGGCTGTGATTGGCTATTCGTAAATAGGGTATCATACAGAACCTCACTAGGATATTCGGGCGACTGCCGCTGTTGCATACTTACAGGCTTCTTCCAGACTCCGCCAAGCAGACTGAAGTCGCTGAAAGCCCATGCCCCACAGAAATACATGCAAATGCAGATGGCCTACAATACGATTATCCAACTCAAATCCACTAAGTGCTAATCATATTGCGCCAAACATTTTAACACAGACATGGTATTAGGGAGGGACTGGGATGAATTAATCTGTCTAGACGTTATCTGGAAGGGCATTATTTTGGAGAGTCTGGCAGGAAGGAACCTTTCTTGTACCAGGCTGGACTTTCAGAGCCAGCAATATGCCAATTATCGGAGACTAAGACAGAGCAATAAGGTTCGGGTTGTCTGAAAATGTGTGAGATGAATTTTGCGGCTTAGGATTTGCCAGCGACTTTAGAACTGAGCAGGGCTGCGACAATGTGACGACACGGCATCCTAGTCTGGGGACTTAAATTCCGGCATAGAAAGTTAGGTAAATTTCTACTTTCGAAGTCTTTCTGCGGACAATTGCAATGACAATTCCAAGAATATGTTTACTTCTCTATGCGACAAGCAACGTATCGTATAAATGAGGAGCGTATATGCAAAAGATCCTATTAACCAGTTTGGTAAAATGTGATTGTGGTAGTTATCATCATTATGTGGGTTGATTCCAAGGCTTAAGATGGAGACAATGAGTACTTGTCTGCGCGGTTTACTTCCGGCTGGTTGTTCGGTTGGGGGCCTGCAAGATGCGGTGTCGCGCGCTGGCAGTGAGAGAGTAGGAAACCTGCTAATGGCGTAGAGTAGATAACGCCGACGACGTCAGGCAACACAGCACATCTTTCTGAATACATTCTTGACAATTTTGCCGTAGTCATTCTTGGGCATCTTTCATCCGATAGGGTCCGATTTGGATTGTTTATAATAAGGCAAATTATAAGCATCTGTCTTCTCACCTGTAAAGGTAAGCGCGCATTTAAACATTTAACCGGTTTGGGCAGAATTCAACAATGACGTATTATCACATATTTTGCCTGGCCGATTGTTGATGAAAAAGAGAACTCTAAGGCCACGCATGTTTAAATAGAAAGCACGACCAATACTGGCATGCTTTAGGAAAATCAACTTCGTCCAATTTAAAATTCTATGTTTATTCCGTTTATAGCAAATGGAGTCAGAACAATACGGATACTCTTTTCTGATTTGCGAATTTAGTGTCGTTCTGTGCTTAAAAAGCAATAATAAAACTCAAATCCACTTCCTTGTTTAAGCGTTTCGTTATATTGCTTTGGCCTTGTAAGTAAGCGGATGTACTAGATGACCGGCGTGGGTCAATGCTATTTGTGTATGCGGGTAACGCATATAAGTTTTGTACAAGGAGAGCAGACATTGTATTATGAATTTAAGCAATATTTATAGGATGTGGTCGTTGTGCAACCGCATGCCTTTCAACAATCACTTCTCTGCCTTGCATCTGGATCGTTGCACTTGATGTGCAAACTATTTGATTGCCGAAAGTCGCGTCATTGATTGCTAAAATTTTATCGCTTGGGTTAGATCTTGATGTGATGATTGCCCGACCATTGGACACACCGACCCTAGAGTTGGGAAAAGTGTTCACTTATTCACTCCCCAGATGGCTAATTATTCCGTCTAGGCAAAGCCTCAGCAACAAATGTGGAAGGGAAAGGTCGTTGCTTTTTTAATGGCCTGGAGGACAGTAAACCATGACCCAAGCAGCAGCCGGCTTACGCGGTTGTTACATCTTGCGAGAATTTCGGCCTCGTCGAATTTAAAGGTGTGGCCGAATCTCGTCGAATGAGCCGCATCTTGAGATCTGGCGTCATTTCTCCGCACCGCTGCAGCGTGTTCGGCCATTCGCTTTCGGAGCTGTCTTCCGGTTTCCCCGACGAAGTTGCTTTGTCCGGTACTACACCAGATCCGATAAACGACTACACAAGTTTCTTGTCATGGTAGCGGGTCTTTCGGTTTTATTACCTAACGCCTAATAGTTGCCTCCACTCTGTTTGCAATTCCAACTCCAAAAAGTAAACGTTTGCTCGCCAATCAGTCTTCTGTATTTGAGGACATGTTGTGTCTTTCGAGGTTAATGGGCAAGTACAGTATGCCTTTCGATATATTTAAAATATTTGAAACATCAAAATAACAAACTCTGCGCTCAAACACTTGACACGCCACTCAGAATGACTTATGCCATTAATGATTTGGACATGCCTCTATGAATTCATCGACGAAACCCTAGGCACAAATCAACCATACGTTTAAAGCACGAAATGCCTGACCGCACATTGTGACATACCGCCTAAAATGTTTTTTAATACTTCAAAGAAGTTCAACACAGATGGATTGCATGAATATTTGACAGACGCCTTCATGTGTTTTAGCAAGATCGCAGTGCAGAAACACAGCCGATAATCCTTTTTTGCAGACATGGACATTTCAAAAATATCGTTTTTCAACCTCCGTTGGTAATACGGAATTAACTAATGTCTTAGAGAGTTGCCTGCGGGAGAGTAAGTATGACAAATACAAGATGAATGCCGGGCGACCATAATATATTTTGGGTAGCTGACGTGTTTTGGGATGTCGATTATTTGGTCACAGGTAGTGACTGTGATACAGTTGCAAAAATGTACGATCTTTTCCGATCCAACACAAGCATACATAAACTTTATAGGCACTAAATTTGTCTGCTCATCACGACAATGCGCTCACGTGTACAAATTTTTGATTAATACGAATAGAGCGGTAAACTTCACGGGAATATTTAAAATGCTTACGTGCATTTAGGCATACGGCGGTTCAATCATCGTAATCGACGTTGGTCGCACTGTGCTCCGCGTAAGGACGGACGGAGTAACTTATACTGCGCCTACCACACTGTCTTCTTCCCTGAACCTTCTGTGCACGATGGCAAGACCGAATCAAGAACCCGAAGGAAGGAGCAGACGCAGTTCGCTGGCGCGGCCTTTGCATGCACCTAGGTGTGCAACTACACCGCCCGACGTACGAGCGAGCAGAACAGTAACGCGGGCCAGACCCTGATCTGGTCCCATTCTTGGCTTAGTGCAACCCTGTCCTGGCCTGTTATAAGGGGCACATTTCAACGTAGAATTACTATACGAGTCTGCGATTGATTGTTGCTGGCGTTTAAATATTTAGTAGAGTGTCTCGAAACATAATGAAGAGGCCAGCGATGATGCAGCGTATAATGATTATTTCATGACTAAGGTTTAACGCGTGTGGCAATTCTTAATGGTGAAATCTTTACATGGATGGTGTTTGATGTAGGGCTGGAGACACAGTCCGCACAGTAAATGCAGAACAGCAGAAAATAGAATCCCCGCGAAGGGGAGTTTCCGATATACTGCCCTAACCGTCGTAATCGACTTTGTTCACGGTGTGCTCTGTAGCAAGATGAGGGGAATAACCATCACCATGCCGTTCCATTTCAAGTCAACATTAAGAAACCGGGACAGAATCAGACGCAGGCGACTGGCGTGGCACGTGCATGCGCCTAGGTGTGCAACTACATTACCCGGGACACGAGTGGCCAGCACAACGACTCGGACCGGAAACTGATATAGCCCAAGTTTTAGTCCACCTCAGGTCCCTCCTGGCCTATTGTAGGGGGCAAATGTCAGCATGAAAGTACTCTACGAATCCCTAATTGATTGCCACTACCGTTTACCAATTTAGTAGTGGGTGTCGAAACATGATGAAACCAGACAGGGATGACGCAGTGCGACTAAATGATGATTGAGGCGTCATACGCGTGCCAATTCCAAATGGTGAAAGCTTTTCATAGATGAGACATAATGAAATAGATGCAGGCGTCCAGGCACAGTGGACGCAATATGCACCGGCATATGAAATCTCCAAGGTAAACTAATTCAAGCAGGCAATTTAGCTGAACTTCGCAAGTACGTTTCGTTATAATAATGTGCTTTTGCTTGATGAAGCAGACTGCTCTTGCAATTCAGCTTAACATTCGTATACCTTTCTTGATACAAAAGATGTGGGCATAATTTTCCGCCAGTTCTTCGCTGTACAAAAGCATCGCGAAAGGGGAGTTTGTTGTCAACTGCTTTCTTGGGTGTGAATTTAAGCTTCGGAGATAAAGCTGTTCTAATTGGTCCTTTTGACGACAAAACCTGGGCTTTCATCACATCGCAGCTACAACTTAAGCCTAAGTAATGAGATAGCGCAGGATCTCATTTGTTACATTGATACCTCGACATGGTGTGAGTGATCCCATTGGAACTCTTCTAATTTGTTCATAGTTTCCATACTCGGACAAAACATCTGTGTCTAAACAAACATTCATGAATATAAGCAAGGGAATCGCGGACTCTAGGAATGATCCTGTTTACTGCAGAACGCTGAAGTATAGAAGAGCAGGTCTCGTTCTACATTCCGTGTGGTTTTTCAAGAGACATTAAATAAT